GTTGTCGTTACCTACATGAACATATCGTGGCCTAGTAATAAAATTCGATGATTGTTATTATTGTAGTCTAATAATAATAATAATAATAATAACAGCAAACTATATTTCTACAGCACCTTTTAAAACTGGAGCAACAATTTGCTTTACAAAACAAAGCATTATAGATCTTTATTGATCCCTTTGGTAGGTTACCTCAGGGAAATTGTTGATGTTAATGCAACAATAAAACATTAGAAGAAGACAAATGCCTATCTGTATAGGTCTGACAGTCTGGGGAGGTTGTTCCACATCATTGGGGTTAAAACCATAAACAAACAAACAAACAAACAAACATAGCTCCCCTTTGTCCTGTTAGATACAGCTGTTGAAAAAAAAAATTATTTACTTTTAAGATCCTTTCCAGGTGCCACATATAAACAAATGTGGAGTAAACTGCATTCACCTAATAATAGAATTAATTGTTAAGTTTTACACTCATAAATTCAAAAATGCAAGGAAAAAAAACAGGAAACCTTGATCTTTAAAATTTCATACTTTATGAATTTTTTTTCTTTGTTCCTTCTGAGAAGTTTATTTACAAGCAGTATACACAAGTTATAGTCCTTATTGCAATGTCATCATTATAGCTGGTTGAGGGAATTTATTGGATAAAACATTCGTTGAGGATGCTAGAGTAAGATGATGGATATTTTAATACAAATACTGCAAAAACATAAAGCAGTTTCTTCGTATGCAATCCATGGAATACCACCCTAAACTACACACAAAGTGGACATTGTTATTATGAATTAAGACGTTTTAAATGTTGAAATGAAGGATATTGGTTTATTTATGGTATAATTTCCCTTAGTAAATTAAATATTAGTGATTAAAAGCCAACAAAAATATCTACAATTTTACTACATGACCATAATACATATTAATGCTGAGCCTCTACAGTATTGTAATTTATTGAGATAAACCTGGCTAGTTTTGAACTCCAGGCATGACCCAACAAAAAAACAACAACATTAAAACCCAACAAATCCAATATTCTCTAGATCTTCTATGAACAAGCTTTGTGTTTATTTTTATATTAATTATTCTGTTTTGGTTGTATTTCATATTATATGTAAGATAAATATAATATATAATGTAATCATAAAAGCAGCCGTGACAGTTTCCTGTGCGCTGAACTACATTAACTGATCCCCTCCGACATCCGCCATCTTTGTGACGCAGTGGCCGCATCAACTACATCCGGGTAACTGTGGTGACCTTGGTTGGTTGATCATCATGGCGGCTCTCGTCAGGTTGAGTTCTGTGTGTCGCAGAGGAGTTAAACGTAAGTGCTGCTGTCCCTTCTCGGTGTTTCTGCCTTTTCTGAACGTGTGTGTTTGCTTGAGAGAAGCCGTTTGACAACGGGCCGGTTTGCAAGACGAGAAGTCGAGTCTAAACTGTGTTGAACAAATCACGCCCGTCTCAGGCTGCTGCTTTCAAGTTCACCGCTCCAGTAAAGCCGGTTTCAGTGTGTTTAGCAGCTCGTGTGTCTCAGTTGTCAGTCACAGTCACTGGTTAGCGTTGGTTAGTTAACTAGCTAGCTAGTTAGCTAGTGAGCCGTGAAGGGGAGCTCACATACTCCATGGTGGTGACATCAGTGTCCTAGAGTGACGTTGACGACAGACGCAGAACTCCACGCCAAACACTGCTCAGAAGTTTGGGAATTATAATTTAGCATACGTTTTAAAAAGTTACGAACCAGATAGAACTTTACTATGAAGATTTTCTGAGCTGGTAAAACTCCGGTATTAATTCGGCACATGTAAGACAAAGGAAAAGGACGTCTGAGTAAAAGTTCAAATCAGGTTAAGACTGCTCAGCACCGCCCTCCTTTGACTATTTGGGTAGACAGTATCCAGATGTTAACAAAAAAAAAAAAACTGGGTGGTAACTGTTTGGTGGAACCTTTTTTTAGCCTTGTGTTTATTTTAGTATTTACATCCACAGTCATGTCATATTTAAATTAGACAAAACAAAATTAAAATTTTATATATATTTATATATATGTAGATTGTGTGTATATATATATATATAGCAGATGTTTGTAGATTTCAGAAAATGTATTTGTGTTGTTTGCTTGAGATAATATCAATCAAACTGAAGTTGAGTGGATTTGACTCAACAGAAATGTCAATGAGCTCTTCATATATATATGTGTGTGTTTTGTAAGGGACAGAAACAAATACAAATATAGTTTTACACATAAAACAACGCAGTTTCCCACCCAACCCCCAACATCATAATAACACAAGGATTGAGGAACTGCTAATATAAATAATGCAAACAATGACTAAACCCTCATTACAAATTTAAACAATAATCTGTATAATATATTGTAATAAAAAAATTAAAATTAAAATCCTTCTCGCACATGTCCTGGGCGATGTTTCCGTGCAGTATCATAGCTGTGGACGCTCTCATGTGGGGGTCCCAGCACCTAATCTTCCAAATATCTGATTATGTACACCCTACTTTAATGCTGCACTTGAAAAAAAACAATCAAAAGATATCACTGTTTAGCCCTTGTTGGATGCTAATCTTTTTTAATGTTCCTAAATTTGTGCTAGCGCAGTGGCAAAAACAAAAAACAACAACAACAACAAAATCCCAAGACAGAACAAGAAACGGATGATTATTATTTCATTATCACAGGGAGAAATTCTATTTTAAAAATCAAATTTTTTACCTTATTAGTTGAGGCATGGCATAATACCACTTCATAGGATTGTACTATTGTTAAATTTGTTGCCTACAGTTCGTTCTAGGTTGAATTTCATGAATTGTGCCATCTGGTTGTGTAACTTTTGTCCTTTCTTCGCAGCTCTGTTCTACCAAAGTACTTTGCTAGCCAGGCCGCTAGCCGTACCGCACAAATACCAGGAGCAACCCCAGCTGCTGACAGCGAGGATTCATTCATCACAGGCTCTCTACGGTCAGTGTTGACAAGCAAAGGTTTGCAGAAGTACACACAGAGACCTACATGACGGGGCTCACAGAGCAACAGGGAAACCTTACAACCTATAAACCTATAAAAAAGTGTGACACGCCAAACCATTGAATAAGCACCTGTGACACATTTTAATCAGTATGTAAAAATTCGACACATTTTCCACTTTTGACTGAAGTCTGTTTTCAGTAAAAGCACGAAGACAAGTTATTTAATCATGTAATGTTAAAAGTGCATAATGTATATTGTAATTCATGTGATAGCGATATGTTTAAATGGTCAAAGTCCAGTGTAGTGTACAGAGATAGTGGTTACAGACAACGCACCGTTATTACTGCCACGCAGCAGGTGAGGGTTTCTATTTAATGTGCAAAAAGATTATTTTGAAATCTTTTTAAATTGGTTTATGATAGTTATGGTAAAAAAGTTAGTAAGTCACTGATGTGTGTACATACAGCTTGCAGCAGGAACTTTTTTTCTGTTTTAATATTAAAATAGGTGAGTGTAACCATTGCTCGTATACAGCCGGTGTTTTTGTGGTCTAGCTTTAGCGCGCCACACTCTAGAGTGGGGGAAGGTATTTTGACACCAGAGAGGTGTAAGGTCTTTTAAATGTTTCTAGGTTTCACTGGGAGTGGCCCACTCACTATTTAGGTTTCAGTGACGTGCGGTGAGGTTCATGGCTGGTGAGGCACTGACTTCATCACAATCAGAGCAGCTCATTTGCCATTTGATTGGCAGCAGTTTACAGGTTATGTTTCATATCTGCATTCTTTACACATACAAACTGTAGCCCACAAAACGCACATTTCATTTTTTTTCAATGTTATTGTGGCCTGACCTTTACTTATAAATGAAGTCCATGCTCCACTCCTTCTGGACAAAAGTCTCCTTATCTTCCTTCGCTGCACCTGACTTGCTAACTGTATATCGTACCTAGTCTGGCTTGCTATTACTTACTCTGCAGCCACGGAGTCACAAGAAGAATGTCTGGGATCAGAGCGCCCCATGCCACGAGGCAAGAGAACTGCTTGCCTCACCTAGAACCTCTTCTCAGCCGGTTATGATTGCTCAGCACACGGAACACGTTACACACTTACAGTCGGTAACAAAAAACACTGTACATTATTATATACATCAGCTGAACTATGGAAAATCAGTTCATATAATCATACCATGTTATTGGCGGCATTCAGACAGCAGCACGCAGTCACTGCATGGCAGCCAGCGTAGGTAGCGAGGGATTGTACAATCCAAGTGAGGCTGAGCTCACTGCCTCACCGGCTTTTCTTTCAAGCATTTGAATGGGAAATTGTGAAAATTCAGCAATTTTGAATTTGAAAAATCATCAAAATTGGTGAGGCTAAATGAAAAAATAAATACTTTATAGTACAAATTGCTGGATGAATATAACCATTCAAATTATTTTATCATTCTATATATTTTTTTCTTTCCGTGATGGCAGACTCTTCCTCACCTGCCTCCCCTGACCACACTTCACTGTTAGGTTTGTGGGTCAACCACCAAAACCTGGCACGTGTTAGTCACGTTTGACCTGTTCTGATTTTTAATATTTTCACATGCAGACTTTGTGTGAACTTTTTAGAACATTTTTGGCTTGTTTTGCTAAATAAAAGAGTGCAGAAACGTGCTTACACCTACAGGACAAAAATGTATTTAAGAACTGTAGTATTTTGAAAGGAACCCATATTTGGTAATATTAGCGTATGGTATTGATATTATCGGACCTCCTCAATACTAAGCAAGATGAGCTGTGAAGTGTTAAATGTCATAAAAGTGTCAAGAATCAGGTTCTTAGGATTGTCAATATTTAGTTAAATTCTAAAAACTAATTCAAGGATGATTAAATTCTTTGTTAATTAAAATTTAAATACAAATGTATAACAGAGGCTTACGACTAAAAAATGCAGTTCTAGTGCTACAAGCGCAACATTGCTTCATTATTAGACATTAAAAATAAAACCCTATGTTGTATGTATGTAAACCTCAAATGCATGCTAAATGACTTTAAAGAAACTAAAGGATCTCAACAACACACAAAATAATCACAAAGGGATGCAAAACGACTGCAAGAAGGCCAAAATGGCAACAGTGACTTGCAAACTGACCAGTAAGATAGGAGGGGTGTGGGTCCAGTTTTCTATTTCCTATATGAGCCAGTTCTTAGTAACTCACCATCTGATAGCGCTTCCCTTGAATGTCTAAATGTATATATGGATTATGCATCCCATGTCCAAGTCAGATTAAATATCCTGCCTGCTGTTTGGGGCTGCCCCCGTCTTTCTTTCACCATGCAGATAACTAAATCAGATGTTTCTGTTGTCTCGCTCTACAGCGGGCGCTGACTCCAAAGCTGCCTCTTTGCACTGGACAGCAGAGCGAGTGTTGAGCATCCTGCTGCTGGCCATGGGCCCCGTAGCCTACTTTTCCCCTGGTCCTGTCATTGACTACTCCCTGGCTGCTGCCCTGACCCTGCATGGACACTGGTAAGACTCAGAAACACTTGAAGACGTCTGAAGACAAAAGTTTAATGTAAAAGTTTATAGGGTGGTTTCATGTTCATGGTCCACATTCCAGTTCTGAAACTAATCCTTTCCGTCTTTGGTGTTTGCCCTTTCTTCTTTTCTGTTCCATGTAGCATACTGAATCACTGCCATCCTCTCCGTGTGTTACTCACAGCTTTATAGTTACACATTTTCACTTCCTTTTTTACTTGGCAGTAACACAGCAAAGGTCTGTTTCTGATCACTTCTGGCCAGACTAATTCCTCCTCCAGTGGTTTTGTGGTTGAGTCTGTTACAGAGACGTGTTGGTTGAACTTCATGGTGATTTTATGACAGTAAATGTCAGTGACACACAGACATCACTGAGGAAAGTAAACTCTTACACAACATGAGGTCGGCAGCAAGTTGAAGATCTTCGTGAGTGGAATATTCATTTGAGCGATCAGTCTTCTAGAAGTTTCACCACTAGCACATTGTAGTTGCCAGATCGAGAAAGTTGTTTGAACCCTCCACAGACTCGGGACCCCTCATGTCTTGACCCAGTACAAGAGATCCATTGACCCTTACGGGACAAAAGGCAAACTTTGTGCCAGAGGTGAGGGTAAGTCTCACTGTAGCTGTCAGCAGCTATTAATTCAGCCTTGGCTAGGTCCGGCTCTGTTTGCAGACTTGAGAAGGCGGTTTTAGCTTAGCGTCACAGCGATGTGCTCCTCCATCAGTCAGAGCGCAGACTCAACGGCGTGGCAGGTGCGCGCCACAAATCCCAGTCATAAGTCTTGTTAAGCAACGGCTTTCGAGGCAGAAAGGTATCTCAGGGTCGAGCTATGTCCTCCTCACAACTTAGACGAATGCTCCGACGTCCTGTGGCATCAGCATCGCCATGGGTTGAAGCATGAGAAGGTTGGAAAGCTTCCTCTTTTCAGTTGAGTCTGTGGCTAATAGGATTTCATAGCTCTAAGGAATGTTGGAATTAAAAGCCAACCTGATGAACAGAGCTTCATTAGGACGGTAAGCTTTTCTAATTAGTGTGGGAGAGGTAACAATATGAATGCTGTTACTAATTTTAAAAAGAAAACCTGGTTTCTTACAACATTAGCCAGTTTTTTTTCTCATACCTATGGCCATCTTCTCAGTTGAAAATAATCTAACCACCAAAGTGATTGTTGTGATTCTGGAATGCAGGGACTTTGCTATAAGTAGGTCTAAAGGCGTAAGAAGAAGGTGAGGTGTTACTGTGACTCCCAAAGTCCATTCATGGTCATATTCATGGCCAGTTTTGCATGAAACAAACAAATCTAGCAGCATTTCATTTCCAACTGCAATAACAAGTGGTTTGGAAATCAGTTTCTCTGCTTCAAGTAACTGACTGACTTCTTAAAAGTGACAGCGGAGGCTCATGAGTGCTGACAGTGAAGCACAGCGTGTGGACACTAGAAAAGCCCGCCACTTGTTTCCTCTCTCATTGTCACACTGCAGCTTTAATGGGGGCAAAAGAGGTGTCAACAGATTGTCCACAAAGCAGACGCCCAAAGCAAAACATGGCGTTATTTCACTTACAAATGACGATCAAGGCAATCCCACAGGCAGCACAAAGCCTTTCTGTAAGAAGTGTTTTTCCTTCGGCATCTTCCCAGACAGACGTCGGCTTGTTCAAAGGAGTCAAAGAGCGCCAGGTTCACAAATGTGATAGAGAACATGATTATATCAGCCTTTAAATATAAGTCAGATGAGTGGTTTATTTTCTGATGTGTTCACTGAACTTTTTTCAATTTGATGAAACAAATAAAGGCGGTGACAGCTGGTTCATTTGCCCCTTTATTTAGTGAAATGATCAATGTGGCAAACCTCTTTATATGCATACAGAGCGTTCACAATAAGCTTGTTTTTACTTTCCAGAACGTTTTAGTTTTTGCTGTTGTATCGTTTTAGCATTCATTTAGGCAGGTATTGTCACAATGTCAGTATTTTTGACAGCTTTAGGTACTGAAGCCTCAGGAGCTGAGCACCGGCCAAACAAAATGTGATTCAAAGCTGACACTGTTTTTATCTGGTGGCCATAAGTTAAACCTGTATGGCTGTAACAGTATCAGTGCGTCCCCTGCTTCACTGTTAAGCCTGTAGATATTAAGAAGAAAAATTTGACTTGGGAATAAATGGTAGCAAGGACGAATAAGAACACATCAGTAATTCACATTTTACAAAACGACTGGCCAACTGTGTAAGCTCTCAAAATTCACTGTGGTCCTCCAGGTTAAAACCCTTTTTTGTCTGTTAAACAACACACAGTGCAACCTAGCTGCTAACCGTCTCTGTGTTTTCCGTCTTTTGTCTTGCAGGGGGATAGGGCAGGTGTTGACGGACTACGTTCATGGGGACGCAAAAATCAAGCTTGCCAATGCAGGTCTCTTCCTCCTGTCCACTGTCACCTTCGCCGGTCTCTGCTACTTCAACTACAACGACGTGGGGATCTGCAAAGCTGTCGCCCTTCTCTGGAGCAAATGAACATGACTATGGACTGGGAAGCTCAGGAGAACGTACACACTGGGGCAGCAGCGATCTTGTCCCGGCTGATTGTAAAAAAATTCAAGGCGTTATTTGTAAATTCTTATAAATATATCATTTTGACGATATTGCATTGATTCATAGATGTGTAATTGTTGTTAATGTCGATCACTTCAGGCTTGGTCTTTGTATTAAGTTGGTTGGGCCACCAGCATCCATTTTCTCTTTGAAGATCTCGGAGTGGCTTCTGTTTACGTTTCATTGTGGACTAAATGGAAGCTGCAGGGACATGGGTGTTTTTAAGTAAACAGTAATGACCTTGACTAGTCTTACAGAATACTGCTGAATGACATCCTTTTTTTTTTTTTCTTGTTTCGGTCCTTCGCGTGGCTGATTTCTTAAATGTGTCTCGTTTCAGTCACAGGGTGTACATACTACCTTTTACTCTGAAGCCCATCAGGAGTAGCAGGGCAGACTGCAGTTTTGAGCAGCTGTTCCTGGGAGATACCTCTGTGGAGATCCACAGTCATCCAAGTCACAGTAACTGTAAGTACTTCAGTCGAGGGCAACGGGACTTCTTGTTTTTGAAGACATTTCACCTCTCATCCAAGAGGCTTCCTGACTGACTAGTGGGGAGTTCCAGGAAGACAGCAGTGTCCACATTCTGGACAGATAGGACAGATGGTTTCAGAGAGAGAGAGACAACCATCTGCAAACAGAGGAGGGGGGTCTACCACACCACCTAGCAGGTACTTTAAACACAGTGAGATCACCACCTTGAGCAGCCGGACTGGTGAGTGTTGGGTTACTAGCGGGCTGTGAGCCATGTAAGTGGAGGTGAGAATAAATATGTGGGACTCTGCACCAGTCAGCTGGAATTGAGGAAGCCTTCTAGATGAGAGGAGAAACCTCTTCTACTGAAGCTCTTAGAATTTTCTAGGACAGTTGCGTCACCCTTCACACTAACTTGCAGTCGTTCACAGGGTCCACTTAATGCGTTGTTTGTTTTGTCGTCACGGCACTCCTAGATCTTGGCTGAAAGGAGCAAATACTGCTATCACGATAAAGTCAGAGGTTCCATTGTGAAACCTGTAACCTCCAGTCATGTGCAGAGACCTGCAGGAAATGGGAGAAGTCTGTGCTTGCTTGTACGATTGTCTGTTAGTCCAAGAGCTCTGCTGTGCCGCTTTATTGAAGGCTGAATAAAGGTAAGGGAGGCTGGATCTGAAGTGCATCATAAATTCAAGCCATGTAGAAATATTTACCCACCAAATATCCAGCAGAAAGGCTCATGACATCTGGCAGTACATGAATTCTCGTCAGCTAACTGGGTGTAAAAGTGTGCAAAATACCGTCCTCTACAAGACAGTAATGGTGACATGAATGCTTCTGTAAGATATCACGTTGTATTGCACTTCATATATGAATTACAGTCTCCTACTGTGGGAGTAAGCTGCAAATTAAAAGAAAAAAAAAAAGACACTTCTAAATATAAATGTACATTTATTTTGATCATTTCCAAGTTTTGGGCTTTTTTTTTTCTTTCTCAAAGGCACACAAGACGGTGTGGCAGATGTTACGGTGGAGTCATGGAACGTTACCTTACAGCACATACACATTCACAGAGTCCTTGCATGCAGCCTTAAGACCAGCAACTGTTTTGGTACTGCCGCAGCGAGACGTACAGGAGTTAATTGTTGTCAAATCTGACCTCTGGATGTGTTGTCATGATGCTCATGCAGTAAATGTTTATGATTACAGCTTACAAGTGTGCTGTCGGTCAGTTCTTTACATCAGTGTACAATGTCAAAATGAGATTAATCACAATACAAAATGAAACAGAAGAACACAAAAGGTACATAATATAAAAATAGCCGTCAATGTTGAACTGTGGCGTATACGTCTACAGGGCGGAGCTGCTTTAACAAGTCACACACGATGTGTGTACAGCACATTTCTGAACACCCTTTTGTTTCTGAAAAAAATCAACTGCCGCAGACCACCTTTAAAATACAGTGTGTAATTTCGAGCACCTTCTAGTTCAGGCTCTTAAATCACGATTCTAGTGGTGTGACAAAAGAAAGGCAAAGATGAATCAATGGTATGCCAAAGTGTTCAATATTAGACAAACAGCTAAATATGAATAAAAACTAGCATAAGATTACAGAGTCGTTGGGGAAATCCCTCCATATATTAAAGTAAGAATGTTTGTAATACAATAAAAAATTACTCAAAGAAGCGACTTAAGAGCTAATAGAATACAACTGAATAATTCCCTTATCAGCAGATTAAGTATTATCGAGAACAATTAGGGACAATACAGTCTATCCATCCATCCATTTTCTATACACCGCTTAATCCTCATTAGGGTCGCGGGGGGGCTGGAGTCTATCCCAGCCGACTTAGGGCGAAGGCAGGGGACACCAGTCTATCACAGGGCTACACTTAGAGACAGACAACCAAGCACACTCACATTCACACCTATGGACAATTTAGAATCACCAATTAACCTCAACATGTTTTTGGACCTTGTGGGAGGAAGCCGGAGAACCCGGAGAGAACCCACGCTGCACGCGGAGAACATGCAAACTCCACGCAGAAAGATTCCGGTGCCCCCACCGGGACGCAAACCGGCAACCTTCTTGCTGCGAGGCAACAGTGCTACCAACTGCGCCACCTTGCAGCCCCCAATACAGTCTACAACTATTATATTTAGTGGCTCCCAGCAGCATGCAATGATAATCCCTAATATGACAACTGATGTGACCGGGGCCCAGCAGAAAGTGGATCGCTGGATTAACAAATTAAAAATGATTAGCTCTTTCAATTTAAGGGATCTTCCCACACAGATGAGTTTCTGATCTGCAGAGGATTCAAGGTTTCCTGCTGCACAGTTAGCTGCCACATTAGAGATGTGGTGTGATATCTCAGAAACATTTTTAAACCCAACATTTACATGGAACGTAAGACTTCTTATTACTTCCTCAGGGTCATTGTTCAGATGAAAACTGAACAAAGAAATAGCACTTCCTAATAGCTTCAGTGTTTTCATTTGTAATTTCTGAAATGTACATGATATATTCACATGATTATTTGTTTCATATAGCCTTTTTACAGTGGATTAACTATTGAGCACTTGGTCACATTAAAATCACAAAATGACTCACTGAAGGACAATAATCTGTTTACCTCAAACCTGACAGGAGACTTATGCTGTGTTCTATGAGTGCGCTGAATAAAAGCAAGCCGTAAAGGCAGCGCTTCTTTTAGCGGTGGCCAATCCTGTATTATTACACAGCACAAAAAAAGGACTCATGAAACAAATGGGACGATTTTGTTCTGATTCCCCTTTTTTTCAATTACATTCAGACATAAGTAAATGGTCTGCACTTTCTTCTACCTTAGCTGCACTCAAAGCGCTTTACAATGTGTTTCTCATTCACACACACATTCACACACCAATGGTGACAGAGCTGCCATGCAAGGTGCTGCCTGCCATTGGGAGCAACTTCGGGTTCAGTGTCTTGCCCAAGGACACTTAGACTGTGGAGGGGCGGGGGATCAACCCGTCGACTTTGCTCCACCACCTGAGCAACAGCTGTGCGGAGGAAGCTTAAGGAACTCGTTCCTGGAATCTGTGCCATCCACTTGCTGAATCAAGACCAGTTTGTGCTGCCAGGGATTCTTCTCGTCGCGCTGAAATCCAAGGAAGTGATTCCGGTACAGCGCGGACTCAAACACAACCGTGTCAGTTGATGCGAGTTCCTTCATGTAGAACAAGGCTTTGTCTGCTGTTGCATCAACTTTATTGGGAAGTTTCTGTTGACAGACAGGAGAGTCATTTAATTTGAATTGTTTTCGGTGAGCAGCTTGCAGTCAAAAAGTATATAATGAACGTTAACATACGGACACTGCAAGAAATAATTATTAGACACAACTTATTACTAAAGTCATTTCATATTAATCACTTGTTAAATGTGAATAGAATAGAGTAGAATAGAATAGAATAGAATAGAATAGAATAGAATATATGGGTTGCAAGTGGTTAGCACTGTTGCCTCGCAGCAAGAAGGTCGCCTGTTGCGGTCCCGGTCAGGACACCCTGGATCTTTCTGCGTGGAGTTTGCATGTTCTCTCCATGCAGCGTGGGTTCTCTCTGGGTTCTCCAGCTTCCTCCCACACAGACCAAAAACATGTTGAGGTTAATTGGTGATTCTAAATTGTCTGTAGGTGTGAATGTGAGTGTGCTTGGTTGTCTGTCTCTAAGTGTAGCCCTGTGATGGACTGGTGACCTGTCCAGGGTGTCCCCTGCCTTCATCCTGAGTCAGCTGAGATAGACTCCAGCCCCCCATGACCCTAGTGAGGATTAAGCGGTGTATAGATAATGGATGGATGGACAATATAATATAATGTAAAATTTCAAAATTACTGGCTTGGATGAATGTATGTCAGTGCCTCTGTACATGCTGTAAATTACTTGTTAGTACTCACCATTGCTTCAGCCTGAATCTCACAGTTCCCATGGCAGCATGCCACCATCTTCTCCTCCCCTTTGTTGGCATACAGCATGACTGGCCGCCCCACAATTGACTCTCGACTATTGCTCTGATAAATATGGATGGTGAATTTGCACTCGAATTTGTGCTCTAAAAAGGAAACACAGGAGAAGCAGGCCAAAAAAGCAGCCTGTCATTGATTGTTGGAGGATCATTGTGACAACAAAAAGTCGTGGCATAATCGCAGCGATCCTTGTTTTTGTCATGAGTTAGTTTTCATGGACAGAACGACTGGAGGAGGCTGCTGTTCTGGCCCTGACAGAAACTGTATGCTTTAAGGGTAGACTCAGATTTTTTGTACTTTTGTTCTTCTCTCCTTTCAATTCAACGGGCTGAATGATGATTTTAAGATTAAAGACACCTGTGCTACAAAGTGAGGACAACAGTCTTCTTGAAATATTACTACAATTCACTTTTCACCACTCTAAGGTGCAACAATCACTTTGACGAGGCCATTTTAGAAGAGAAGCAGAGAAAGACTTCACCTGTTTCCACAGACTCTTTATATTTGGCAAGTTTTCATTGTGGTTAATGATTTAAAGGCATACATAGTCTCTTTTAATTAGCGATGCACGATATATCGGCGACCACATTAGTATCGGCCAATATTAGTGTTTTTTATATCGATATTGGTCCGATGAACAAATTTAGCCGACGTGAAACACTGATGATTGTCTAACATTCATGCCTTCGTCTCTACATTTGATATCGCTGCTATTTCACAGATGTTTTTACTTAAATTGTCTTGGACTTGCACATTAATTATGTTTAAATATGTTTTACTTTTGTTATAAAGAAGACTATGTGGTCTAATTTGGTATGGGCTTCTTCTGAATAGTTTTCATGTTCTCACAGTGCTGACTTATACTCATTTTTCAGTTATCGTGATATCAGAACTCTCAATATCGGATATTGGCATCGGCCAGAAATTTTAATATCGTGCATCAGTAGGGCCAAACAATTCATCAATTTCACACCTTACTTGTAATTTAAACAATGCATTTAGCAAATTACAAAAGCTGCCTTTTTTTTGATATAGCTTCTGCAGCGCATCTCACCCAGGGTTTAAAACTGTGTTGATGTTTTACAAATGTATAATATCCTCCTTGTTAGTGTCACACTTTTGATAGTTCCCATTGCGGAAAGTCTATTCCACAGTGAATATTGAACTGAAGAAAAAAAAAAAAAACATCACAAATCAAATCACAATGTCTTGTTGGGAAATTTCAATTAGATACAGTCGTGACTCGATAATCCGACACTAAATGTAAAACCTTCTTTTATGTCGGATAGCATGGCTGTCGGATTGTCAAGATGGAGGTGGAGATACAAGGAGGGCTTGATGCTGGAAGGCTCATTTGTTGTTAATATTTATTGTTTATAGTTGGTATAATAACTAGTGTATTGTTGGAACACTGCACATCGCTGGATTTCACGCCTAATTGACCGGTGCGATTGTGCATGTTCCGGCCACTTCCACCCCGGGGGAACGCTCCGACGGGCTGGAAGTGGCCGGAACGCACATGCCAGTTTAGAATAGCAGTCACAGTTCTGTTTCCACCATCGGTGGCGGCGGCGGGGGAATGGCGGATACGCTCCACAGTTACCATTTGTGTTTAAGTCCTGCAGTCTGAACGTAGCCAATCTGTCACATTGTTCAGTCAGATAATACTCTGTTATCCTTATTTGTGACATAAAATGTCATGTCGGAGTCGTAGTCCAAGGCTGTCGGTATGTTAAGGCTGTTTTTAATGGGTTCCGTTCATTTTTCCAAAAAAACCTGTCGGATAACAAGGTTTTCAGATTGTTAAGGGTCGGATTATCGAGTACTGTATTTTCCTCTTTTTTTCCCCCTTCATTCCGCTCTAATGACTGAGCAGTATTATTTTGCCCATATGGGTTTCAAGAATCCAGTGTAACCAGTTCTTGCTCTACCCTAAGATGTGATGTATTATGTCCACTGTCTGGTACATTTCTGACAAGTATCTGGAATTTCATGTAGACTAATGTTTCTGATATCTAATGTAATGTGGCCACTACAAGCAAGCGTTATTTCTACAATGCCTGCATTAGTACAATTTTTGCGATGAGCTAGCATTTCTTGGTGGTCAGCCAGCAGGAGTTGAAAAATCCTAATCAACATGTGACATTTTGGCATAAATTACAACACAGTTTTACCTCCAAAATATAATACTACTGACTCCAGGCAAGTTGCTTTATTTCAAAATGCTAAAAATGTCAGTGGAGAGACAGAAGCTAGCACTAAACACAACTAAATCCCAACACATTAAGGCTAAGTTAAAGTCAAAAGTCTGTCACTTTTTGCACAAATAAACACAGTAGAAAAATAATGTTGTTGCTTCTTACCACATCGCTCCTTATCAGTCAAGCATTGGAAAAGAAATTTGTTTTCTTCTTTGTTTAAAGTCAGGATTTTTTGGTCCATACTTTGAATCTCATGTACCGAGAACTTAACAGATTTGTTGAAAGTATCCTCTTCCAAACCTGTGTTTTTGAAAGAATCACATGTTATAATACCAGTAAAGCTGCACACTTCTTATGGGGATTAAAGAAAAGAAATATGGGGCCTAGTATTGCCTAGAACTCTGTATTTCATAAAGAATGGAATAATTACCATCATCTTCCGCTTTAATGAAGAGCAGGGGCGACAGATGAGAAGATTTCACGATTCATGTGCAAATATACGAAGACAAAAAAAACCCTGTGTTAAACTGAATGTATAATAGACCACATACCAGACTGAACAGCAATTAGGAAAGTGTTAAACCATGCTTACCTGTAAAGTAGAAGGAGTGGTTATCTATATCCATAAATGTAATGGGGATGTTGGTGGTAGTCATCAGGTCGGCTAGGTAAAATCAGAACAAGATTTTTAGGCTGTTGTGGAAAACGGTGAACACTCACAGGGTGAACGTCGTAACCTGCCACTGTGTCTTATTTGATGTTAACAAATACGTGGAGCCAATTTCCTCACTGTGACACCAGTGAGGAAATTTTGTGATGAAATTTTAACTGGTTGTGTAAATTGGTCGTGTTGCCGTGGGACGCAGACATGACAGCGTGACAAATGTTGTAAACAATTTCCTTCTGCTCCACGTCTGAGATCTTGAAACCGCAATGTTTCCGTATCAGCAGTATTTCTAGCTTGCGGTAGTTGTGGGTGGTGATCGATCAAAAGTATCGATAGTGTGAATACCGCGTTGGTATCGGTATCGCATCAATATTTATGTGATAGAATCGATACTCAAGTTTCAGTTTCTCTTCTTTACGTTCAGCAACCATTACATAGTGGTTATAATATACCTTTACTGTATTTTGTGTTATGGATGTTTTAACATTGTTTTATGTTTTGTGTTCAGCACTTTGTTTCGACTTTTGTTGTGTTCAAGTGCTTTATAAATAAAGTAGAGTTGAGTTGGTTGTGCAAAGCAAGACTGAAGCCATTCATGTACCACCACAAACACTGTCACAAAACCTAAGCAAATAAGGAAAATCAGACAATCTGGGGAAGAGGCAATTCAACGACACACCCTTCATGGATGGTTAAAACATGGGCATCAAAGAAATTGATATATGAATTTACCATGTATGTAATTTACAAGGTGTGTGGATAGAATTACCTCTGGAAGGCCATAATACTAGTTCTTTACACAATTTTAGCTCCATCAGGTGCGCTCTGAATAAATTAGTGATTCGCTTTTAGCACTGCACTTCAGAACAAATATCCATCCATTATCTATACACCGCTTTATCCTCACTAGGGTCGCGGGGGGCTGGAGTCTATCCCAGCTGACTCAGGGCAAAGGCAGGAGACACCCTGGACAGGTCGCCAGTCCATCACAGGGCTACACTTAGAGACAGACAACCAAGCACACTCACATTCACACGTACGGACAATTTACAATCACCAATTAACCTCAACATGTTTTTGGATTGTGTGGGAGGAAGCTGGAGAACCCTGAGAGAACACACACTGCACGGGGAGAACATGGAGACTCCACGCAGAAAGATTCCAGTGCCCCCACCGGGACGCGAACCGGCAACCTTCTTGCTGCGAGGCAACAGTGCTGCCAACTGCGCCACCCTGCAGCCCCCAGAACAAATATAAATCTACAAAAAAAATAAAAATTAAATGCTCTGCCATAAATTCTACCTTTCTGAAAAGCCCCCATTTTCAGATTTTGCTGACATAGTTGGAATGGTAATACTTGATTCGACTCGACTTGATGCTTAGATGAGCTCGTAGTGGGTGGTGGTGGTGGCGTACTGGACTGCATCCTATGTTAAATAAATGGCCAATTGACTGCACATGAGTCGTGTGTACAGAAGAGCAACTCGCCCAAGATCCAGTGCAGGGCTGACAATACTTACAGCTGAGAGCATTGCTCACACAGAAGTGGCACAACGCCTCACTACCTTTGTTTCGTCAGCAAATCACTATTAAGCCAAAGAGTCTTTTTTTTTGTTGTTGCTCAATCATTTGTTGCTCATCATTTGCTTGTGCAGGCAAGACTGCCGCGAGACTCATGCAGTGTAATAAGCTCTTTATGGAACCCTCATATAAAACCCTGGTGGCTAAAGTTAAAGAGTCGGTGGTGGCCAGGACCACCCTTTTTTTTTTTTTTGTGTCCCGACCAAGAACATGTTCTACGAGTGCACATGACATTACGCTGTTTTTGATTCAACCTACACCTGAATCTTATTTTTTCTTTTATCACAGTCCTCCATCACGTGAAGCTCGTCATCTTTTGTCAGAATTGAGGCGGTGGAGAACATCCAGAAAACCTTTATTCTGCGCCTCTTCTTAAAGCTGCAGCACATGTGAAGCATTTTAGCACAACAGAACTTTAAATCAGTGGATTGAGCAAAAGTGTGCTTTTATGAAACTTTACTGTTTCTTGTAATCAGGCCTGATACTTGGGCTGGTTATGGAAAATGTGTTGACTGTAATAAGATAAGATAATAAGATTTAAGAAGGTTTTTATTTATAAATGAGGAAATAAGAGTTAGCACTGTTGCCTCGCAGCAAGAAGGTTGCCGGTTCGGGTCCCGGTGGGGGCACCGGAATCTTTCTGCGTGGAGTTTGCATGTTCTCCCCGTGCAGCGTGGGTTCTCTCCGGGTTCTCCGGCTTCCTCTCACACAGTCCAAAAACATGTTGAGGTTAATTGGTGATTCTAAATTGTCCGTAGGTGTGAATGTGAGTGTGCTTGGTTGTCTGTCTCTAAGTGTAGCCCTGTGATAGACTGGTGACCTGTCCAGGGTGTCCCCTGCCTTCACCCTGAGTCGGCTGGGATAGACTCCAGCCCCCCACGACCCTAGTGAGGATTAAGTGGTGTATAGATAATGGATGGATGAGGAAATAATATCTTTTGCAGCTATCCTGTGGACGATAATCTTTCAAATATAACCCAATTCTGTGGCATTAATAACGTTTCAGTCACAATGTAGGGGCTGCGTTTACTTTTTAGCAAGCGGGAAACTAGATTAAAGGTCTTTTTAAAGCTATTTGAACAGGAAAAAAACAACATAACTGGTAATAATGTAGGGCACAGTGCAGGAGCAATAAGGCACAGACGACAGGGTAATTACTACCACGCAATCAGCACTGCTCAGGGTTCTTTTCTAATAGCCTCTTTTTACAGACTGAACATTATACTGTTGTTATATTAAGTGAGAAGCAGATAACGATGATGGAGGACCGAGCCCGCCGAGTTCGGTGATGAACCAGGTCGACTAGTGGCCGCACCTAGCAGTCAAAACTTCTGAAAAAAAAAAAAAAGCTCGACAGGAAAGTTTCGCATACCTTTCAGAGACGCTGTTGAACACACTGCCGGGGGCTCTCCGCTCTTCAAGTGAGGCACCACCACCACCGTAAAGCGCCGGGAAGGTTAGCAAACGGAGCGCCTTTGATGACGGAGCGGCTCTGAGGCTCGCGCGCTGGCTGACCGACTTTTCTCGGCTCGCGAGCTGTTTTTATTGGCGGATCTCACTTCCGCTTGGACACGCGGAAGTGAGAGTCGCCAGACGCTCTCCAGTAAAAGTTCCATTTTCTCTGAAAAAGTCTCCAAACTGGCACATTTTACTCTCACTTCTCAAATAAGTTGAAAAGATGGTAGGTGGAAATGAACGGTTTCGGTTTTGACGGCCGTTGTTGGCATGTTTTTATTTTTATTTTTTATTTTTCCTTTATTTAACCAGGTAGGTTAATTGAGAACAGGTTCTCATTTACAATAACGACCTGGCCAAGAGGCAGCACAGAGCAGAAAATACAATACATCCATAAGAAAAGAGTACACAAACAAAACGTGACAATAAAAGTCTTTGAAGATAAAATACACTAAAAGCAGGTACAGGACTCGATTTCCTCCAGTGTTCATCAGTTTTCACGTCAGCTCTTTTTCTTGGATGATACAAGCTTTGCTATTGTTTTTTTTGTTGTTGTTTTTTTTAAGCATGGAAATAATTGTATTGCTAAGAGGAAATTAAAAGAAGTGATACATTTATTTTTTTAAATATCGTGAACCCTTTATAGGGGACTCCTTGAAGTCACTCCTGCCCTAGGGTGTTATTGAAGGATATTTTTAACATATTTTTTCTTTTTCACTTAAAAAAAAAAAAATGCAAATCAAGATTAATAAAGTTACCATATGTGGTAACTTGCCCATCTATGGTTTATAAAAAGGGAATTTATAATGAATAAAAGAAAACGTTGCAAACTGCAAAAAAAACATTTTTTTAGAAACATTTCAGTTTGAGGTAATGATCCTTACACAACCAGCAAAGTATTTATAAAGTACTCGGCAAGTTCATTTGGTAACATTGTTCTTGGTGTGGTGGTTTTGGCACTGATCTCAAAAAATAAATCAAAGTGGAGTTCAATGCAAACCAGTAACAAAGCGTTTATAAAGTGCAGCCTGGAACATTTGTTTAGTCACATTTGATATTGGCACTAATATAAAAACTAAATCAAAGTGCACATGGTTCCTCAACCTCAAGGAGAGGCACAGGGTGGACATGTTGACCGTCCAAGGAAGTTACCAAATATGGCCCCATAAAGGGTTAACATGAGAGTAACATGAGAGGTTGTCCTTTGGTTCAAACAAAATAACAAATACTTTTCTGTAATAAGTGAAAGTGTAAGAGCAGGACTTTATAAGGAAGACGCCCCTAACATAACATCAATAATAAATTACTATCTAACTAGGAGTAGAAATATATCATTGTCAGTCTAAAAGAGGCTAAAGACTATGTTAAGCTAGTAACGTTATGTTCTCATAGCGTGCTGTAGCATTAGCTCGTTAGCATCCCTGCTGATTGCTATTTGACATTATTTAATGTCAGGATTTGAATATCAGTGGTAATAAAATTATAGTAAAGTTGTAACGTTTGCCCATCGGTTTTGTATTAATTGTCCATCGTTAAGCTGTCTTTAAAAAGAAAAAATCACAAACAATCCCCTTATGTGATATGTGACATTTATGATAAAGTAGATAAAGTAAGAGCAACATCACATTTTTAACATATAGTTAACTCTACTCAGGACATTTGGGTCTTTTGGACCCCAGGCCATTTGGTTCAGGTGACAGGTATTGTTTTTTTTGTTTGTTTGTTTTTTTTTTTAAAGATTTTTTGTTTTTTGTTTTGTATATAAAAAGAGGGACATTTGTCATGCATTTGGAACCAAAAAATACGTAAACTTATCAGAAAATGTATTTAACGTAGTATACCAGTCTATAATGAATACCAACAAATATTTTTTATTCTTTGTTGGGGCAGAAAAGACCTTCTACGTGTGGCAGCATGAAAGTCCTGAACAGGGTTAACTTAATGCAGAACAAGTCTGGAAGGAAGATGCTTCTTTTCAGGGTTTTACATTTAGTTTATTCTGGGAAATCTGTACTTTGGTTTTAATTTGTTCACTTAAACATACTTCTTGTGTACATAATATATTGATATTTGACTGCTTTAATAATACTTTATGGCTTATAATTTATGGGTTAAAAGTGGACATTCTTTACCAGACAGCGGTTCACGAATGATTCTGCACTGTCTGTAATTGAATTTCATTTTAACACTTTGATTTGAAAGTCCCTGGTGCGTTGGCTGTAAACTTGCAGTGGTCTGCCACCAGAGGGTTCAAACGAGTTGAGGGACGCTAAGAAATTCTCAGAAAACAGCTCAAACACTTGAGTTTTAATGACTAACCACTTCATTTTTATTCTGTTAGCGTTTATCGCCCCCATAAGCCAAAGGCGTATGGTTTGATTGAAATCTGGAGGTGGGGACACATCAGGCTGTGGTTATGGGGGTTTTATGTGGGGAAAATTTGAGCATCAAACATTTAATTTCCTGCATTTTAGTGAACTTTTCAGTTTATGATGGGAATGTATTCATGTAAAGGAGAGGGAATTCAATATATAACACAGCAAGGCTCTTAGGGATTATGTATTGCTTTCAAATATTTATTTTCTTATATATCTACTTATAGCACTGTTGCCTCGCAGCTAGAAGGTCGCCGGTTCGCGTCCCGGTGGGGGCACCAGGATCTTTCTGCGTGGAGTCTCCATGTTCTCCCCGTGCAGCGTGGGTTCTCTCCGGGTTCTCCGGCTTCCTCTCACACAGTCCAAAAACAGGTTGTGGTTAATTGGTGATTCTAAA